CTGCAGTTTTTTTTTTTACATTTAAAACTGGAATAAAATGACTCGTTTGTCAAGTTACAAACAATAAAATAAAATACCACTTCCGGTTGGAGCTTTCAAAGTAAATTACGTTTTTCTATATATATTTATATTTTATCATAATAAAGTAACTGAATAATCATCTATAGGAAAGGATTGTTTATAAAAATGTAATATATCTGTCTGAAAGGTGTTCTGGTGCGTTATTTCCTTTAATATTAACGTGAGATTTTATTTATTTGTGTTGCAATTAACACGAAATTAATCGATATACAAATATGTTACAGCGTACATGTGAAGTTTACTTTATTATCTTCAATTGTGTATTTTGGTTTTTAAATAATCAACATTTTGTCTAAAAAAAAAAAAAAGATAATTTGAAATCTCATCACATCGGTTTCCGTGTCGCTAATTCCCGCCAGCTTCACTGCATTCTGGGTCTCCATCTTCTGCTTTCTTTCAACCTTTTTTTATTTTTTAATTCATCAAATTAAACAGAATAAAAGATAAAAACAGCAGAAATCTCAGTTTTACGTTAAAGAACGTCGCGTTTTATCTCCTGTTTGTTTTAAATGTTATTTTTAGTCACAGTGACGTCAGAAAAGTTAAAGTTTGATCATTTGTTTGTGTTTAAATCTCATTTTGGTTCGTTCATAAATTAAAAATTGGAGCAAAACTTTATTTATTTACTATATTTATACGTATAAGTTTATTTATTCTATTAACTTTACTCTATTTTTGCTCTCATATTTAAGTTTAATATTCTGTTTATTAAGTTTTATTGCTTTATAATTAAAATATTTCTAAATTTAAAGTTAATTTCAAACTGTTTAGAAAATTAAATTGGTAAATTAGGAACATTTACTTTGAATATGTGTCTGATATTGTTAATTGGTGTTGTTTTTTTTAATTAATATTTACATAGGATCACAATTAGCAAAATACAGAAACTGTCGTCGACAGAAATTGAAGCCAAACAAGAATTTAATGATAAAATTGCATTAAAATGATAAATAATTCATTATATAGCAAATGTAAATGAATAAAAAGAAACTAATTGTGAACTGAAGGTTTATAATAAAACATCCAGAAATCTCTACATGGAGTTTTTAAACTTAATTAATGAAATAAATAATAATTTATTGAACAGAATCAAACAAAATAAATAACACTGACCTCTGCTGGCAGAGTAGGACAAACATTTCTCCACTGGAGGTTCAGACATTTGCAGATTTAGATTATCAATATAAAATATAAATCAGATAATTGATTGATTGATATTGATTGTAATTCTGCGTAATGAGTTATTTTACTTTTGTTACTTTAAGTTTATTTTGTTGTATTTGTTGAATGTATAACTGAATAACTTAAATACATTTTAATATTGTTTCTATGTAAAACTCACGCTGGCAACATTTATTATTATTATTATTATTATTATTATTAACGGATATACCATCGATATATATTGATATTATTGTATACTGTGCTATTTGGATATTATTACTGATACATAAACATGTGAGAAGCACTTTAATCTTATTTAATCTTATGTTGGGTTGTTTAGAAAAAAAAAACAAATATTATATATTGAGTGTGTAATTTGGGTGGAAAATAAGAATCAGTATAAAGTATAATTATATAACATTATATATATATATTATATATAAATTTTGTAAGTATGATAAAAATGTGTTAAAAAGAACATTTATCACAGAAAAAGACACATTTGTACTCATAACATCCTTTTATAACTACTGATAATCTTTTATTGGCCACAAACAATGAATTTGACTATGTACAGTTACATATAAATATAAACAATAAACAATAACATTTGTGTACAGTAGATAATATTGTAAGGATGCTGAAATAAATATTTACATGCAGATTTCTTTATTATTATAATAACATACAAATTATATGTACAGACCAGAAAAAAAATAGGTAATATTACGACTTTATTCTCAAAATATT